ATATCTATATATATATATATATATATATTAATCATGTTTCTGTTTGTTCAGCAATAATAATAATGGTATGAATCCACATCTTCTACACTGAGGTCAATGGATGACTATCATCGTCATAAGTCCACTGTGATATCACAGCATGCAGCGGCTGACTCAGAAAAAAACAAAACAGCAAAACACACACACACAAAGCAGCTTTGACAGTACAAAAGACTGCCCATAGAATACTGCTATATGGCTTTAGAGGAGCAGCGCAAGAGCATCCTCCAGATTTTAGTCCTGCAAGGCCCCCTGAACAGTCTGGAACCAGAAACCACTTAGCTTTCACAGAAAGCACAGTCTGAACACTGAGGGAGAGGCGCCTCAGACAATGGTAGAGCAGATGTCCCCTGATATAATAAATTTTTTGGTATATATCATTATTCTGGCCCTACGGTGACCATTATCTCTATCACTCATCCTCCCTGTCAGTTATATTTGTTCTATTATTCACAGTCTCTCTTTTTTTCTTCCCTTTCTTCTGGCCAGCTTGAGTGGCCTGTGCCAGTGGTAATGATGAGACTCTGGGAGATGATATCTTTTCTGTGGACTCTCTGTCACAGTTTGATATCTTGGGACTCTAACATCTTCGCAAGAGTCTTCTTCACCCTTAGGGCTGTGAGACGACAAGTTGGATTGTGAGCCCAGCACTCCGACATGAGTTTCCCCATCTGTCGTAGACACTAAAGACACACACGACCATATGCATAAGAATACAAGTACATTTTAGGCAAATGGTTTAATCCATCATTACTAATTATTTATGGGCATGCAAAAACATGTTTAGCAAAAATGTACCTTACATCCACCAAGACCTACAAAGTCAACCTATAACTTAGAAACAGGGCTGTACTTTGTTTTTTTAAAGGGAATAGCGTTGTGTTCATGTGCAAAGTGCAGGCTTTTTATTATTTGCCAAGCTGAAACCCATTTTAATATACTTGATATCATTTTGAGTATAATTATTTTTTTTATTTATGTGGATATAATAAATGGGTAGCATTTAATAATAAATATCAATTAGAAAAAGCGGTTATAATCAATAACTGTAATGCACATAACACAGAAATAATAAAAAAAAAGTGATATTAAGAAACCCCATATATCATTCCCTGTATGCTCACTCTATATGTTGTAGAAATAACATAGTTTAAAAAGGCCAATGTAGAATCACTTCAAAGGTGAAATATGAAATGCTATTTTAAATCCTTATACAAAGCTTTCTATATTTTGACAATACACACCACACTTCATCATAGTTTCTAAGTTATAAGCCTTTTTCTCAATTTCCGACCAATAAATCATAAACTTGACCTTGAATGACCTTTGTGGATGATCTACACTGCTACAAAGTTTCATCAGAATCCATTCAAGACATTTCGAGGCATCATGTTTACGGACAGGAAGAATGATACGCATGCAAGCACTACTACAAACATAACCTCCTTGGCAGAGGAAATAATTTGACTGATAAAGTTTTACAGGTAAACTGTAAACTAAAGAATACTCTGGAAAAGTGTATGATTAACAGCTGTTGTGCTAATAACAGCTGTTTCAATGCATCATTTCTCTCATACTATGAGGCAGAAATCTCCACTTAGAATGCAGATTAATGCATATTTACATGGATTTATTTTAATGTAAGTAACCATGTTGATGTAATGACGTTCACACATAAATGCCATTAAGTTTAAGTTTTAAAAATGGATAAAGATAAGAGTACCTCATCATTGCTCCATCGATTAGCAAATGAAGGTCTTTGTTTTTTTATGCAAACCACTTCTCTCATGTCCTCATATGAAGGATCGGACGGGACGAGGTCATAATAGGGAAGCTGATGTTCCTCCACAATACCTGGAGTTATAATGAAAGAAAATGTCCATTAATTATCATTAATAAAATATTAAGACACTTCAAGTCAAAATAAACACATCTTCCTCACCTCCAGAGATGCATCGTCGGGCCATCTCCCAGATAATAAGGCCAAAACTATACATGTCAGCTGTTATAAAAGACTGGAAGTGGCTCCTGTTGAGGGTCTCATCCAGTACTTCAGGTGGCATGTAGCGCTTTGTTCCAACGCGTAGGTTAGGAGGGATATCTACTTCATTGGTGTCACTGAGACAGGGAGGAAAAAAAGGAACGAGTCAAAGAATTTTTAGCATCGTCCAGTATTCTCCTTAATTAAAATAAAAGCTCAAAAGACTCAAAATGTCTTGTGTACCTATTAAACTTGACAGCCAGACCGAGGTCTGCAATACAGCAGGATCCATTCTTTTTAACCAAGATGTTTTTGCTCTTCAGGTCTCTGTGTGCAATAGCTGGTTTGCCCTGTGTGCCGTAGATCTCAGTGTGGAGATGACAAAGGCCTGATATGGAGGAATACGAAAGCTTCAGAAGAGCCTTGACGTCTAAGCTGTTGGACTTGAGGTAGTCGTATAAAGAGCCATTCTCGTGGTAGTCTGTAATTAAGTACAGCTGAGTCCACGAGCCGGTTCCTTTGATGTCGGCTGCAATGAATCCTGGGGATTAGATAGCTGGTGTGAGGGGATTAAAATATACACACAGAAATCAATGCGCATGGTTTCATTCACTTTTGGGGACATTTCATCAACTTGTGCTCAGTCACTGAACATCCATTTGTGTGTGTAACTTCCAAAACAATCAAACATAGTGCATGGAAGTAGGAACCATGCACTGTATTTTTTCTTTCTAATACTCATTTTCCATTTGTTAGTCAGCTATTACCTCTGCTTTTGAAATGCAAAACCCAGTGTATCGCTATATCTCCCTGGAAACATGTTGAAAAAATGTGTATCTTTACAGATATTTCATATTTTTTTTGTCTTTGTCTATGACAGCTTGCTGCTCAGACTTTAATTGCTACACTTGTTAACAATGAGTTCTGAGAAACCCAACACTCCTTTCCTCTAAATCTAGAGATTTCAAAGTCTGACCCGCATGCAACTGGCATCCACAGTTAATGTCAGAGTGTGGAAGCAGAACAAAATGAGACCTTTTTAGTTTTAAATCTAAATCGTCTTAACATTAACATAGAAATCAAATGTTAATAAACCTGAAAAACCTATAAAACCTACATAAATATAAATATAGCCCTTTGAGCAGATGCATAAATACTAAATGTGCAACCATCAATCATTCCCGGGCTTTTGACATTGGCACTCAGTTATCAAAACTTCCAGAGCCCTCTGAAACTCCAGAAATTAGTCGTTAACCCCAGAGGCTAAGTCAGCAGTCCAGTCAATGAGTTCCAAGAAGAGCCTAAACCAGGGGTGTCAAAAGTAAGCCCTGGGGGCCAGAATTGGCTTGAGACACTCCAATCCAGCCCTCTATATTGGAATGACAGCATAAATTTTGGACTTTTACCTGAATTTTCAAAAGTTTTACAGCTTCTCCTTCTGATAAAGTCCTCCCCCGTGGCTATTCATACCATACCAAAGTAATGAAGTAATAAAAAGCAAATAAATACCAGAAGAGATCATATTTTATCACTCACTACTGCAGAAATTTCTGTTTTTTTAACAATAGATCCACATAAAAAAAAGAAAGAAAAGAAAATATGATTATACAATAACTATTAAAGTAATTTTACACATTTGCCAAAGAGTCATGCTGACAGATTCCTTTCATTCATTACAGCAGCAATTCTCTAACATGTGAAAGAACTGTGGAGATTTTTCTTTTTTTTCTTATATTACTATTCGTTGACATGATCTTGAACAGTTTAGGTCCTTACTAGGCCAAGAGATATGTATTTAAGACTGATGATAAAAATGGTATGGAGATTCAGACTGAAGTAGATGCTTTGTTGGAGCGCCAAAGACGGGACAACAACTTGTCTGTTCCTATAAGGTTGATCCTGAAATTGCTGCCATGAGGCCTCTAAATCAGATGGCGTGGATGATGACAGCAGCTACAGCAGCTTCATCTCCTATGTAGAAATTTACAACTACAACATCTACGATCTCCTGGAGGAAAGATGCAATCAAGCCCACATCATGTATGTGGCTGGTTATCTGGAGGTGGAAGTCATATCTGCAGAGGAGGCTTTTCAAGTGTTCTGGAGAGGTAAACAAAAAAGAGGAAGGTTGCAAACACTTGGCTGAACAGAAAGTCCAATCGCTCCCACAGTGTGTTCATTATTAAACTGGCTCAGGCCCCTCTTGATGCAAAAGGCAAGAATGTTCTCCAGGATAAGAACCAGATAAGTGTCAGGCAGCTGTGCCTGGTGGACTTGACATGAAGTGAGCGACCTGGCAGGACAGGAGCAGAAGGCACTAGTATACCTGAAGCAGGTAATATAAATCAGTCTTTGCTGAATCTGAGGACATGCATCAAGATACTTCGAGAAAAACAAATGTGTGGCACAAACAAGATGGTCCCCTATCAAAACTCCAAAATAACCCACCAAAAAAACGACTTTGATAGCGATGGAAATGTTAGAATGGTCGTCTGTGGAAGTCACGTGGTACGCCCGCCCAAGATGGCAACAGATGGGGGTGCCAGGGCTCCATGGGACACCAACTTGGAATGGGAAATTATTTTTGGAACTCTCGATCCTTTTATGCATTTGCATAAAATTGCATATCAAACTTGGACTTTAGGTTTCCTTTTGGTATTAGTTATTTTATGGCCTTATTCCTGTATTCATGGATGTACCATTTGGAAGTTGACCTTTTTCTTCTTAAATTAACTTTCATACATTTAATACAGCAACTGACTGTTCTTTCTTGGATTTTTGTCTTTACCATTATATTTGCAACATTAACACATTCCGCAGAATAACTACTTTCCTGACCCTAACTGACCTCTGAGAAGAAAAACAAAAACAAACCTTAATTGTGCTGATTGCAACCGCTGCTCACTGTTAACTAAGTGCATTCATTCTTTTACACTCACTTCGCAGTTTTCAGGACCTTACCCAGTATGTTGTCGTGTCTCATCAGGAAGGTCTGATAGATTTCAGTCTCTCTGAACCAGCTTTCTTCCTCAGTGGTGAAGAAGACTTTGACAGCCACTCTCTCTCCTCTCCACTTGCCCATCCAGACTTCTCCATATCGTCCTTTTCCAATCTGCTTAACCATCTGAATCTGCTTGGCGATGGTGCGCTGCACCTGGAAACAAATTATTGAAACAACAAAACAAAATAAATTCCATTTTTACAAAGACAAGTCTCTTTAAAATCCCCTTTTTTCATTATAAATATAGGAAAACTTCCTTCTGAGCATCTTGCTCTGTTTAAGTTTTATACGAGCGAACAGGTTGATGTAATTCAGATATTTTACTGCACTAAAAATCATTGTGTGACATTTTCTTCTGCATATTCTGCATATATTTACAAACAATGGAGTGACACAGTGATTATTTTATCACAGTTAATCTCACCTTGAGGTGACGCAGAGGTGTAGAGAGTTTTGCTTACCAGTAGAGGGAGTCCTGACCCAGAGCCAGACCCAATGCTACGGGAATGCTCTATCAAGTCCTTCAGAGATTCCCCAGGGGGAATGTAGGTCTCATCCTGCTCCAGATCGATACTGTAGCGTGGCCGTGACTCCTGCCGTTTATATCTGGCGCAGAAAGTTTGCTGAGTGAACATCCAGAGGTGTGAAAGTGTTTAAATTAAGTGTGTATGAGACGACCTTCCTACCTTAGGTAACAAAATACGAGGATGATGCCAAGGATGATGCTGCAAACTGTGACTGAAATTAAGAGAGCCATGTACTGGATACTGTGGTAATCTAAAAATGTAATGATGAGAAGATGTAAATTAGAGTTTTTAATTTTTTTTAATTTAGCGATTTTGAAACAACAACAAAAAAAAATCCTGGTCTGGTCAAGATGGAAAGTCAACAGAACAACTACTGATAAATGGTGGTGACAGTCAGTTGTTCATGGGCGTCATTCCAAATATCTCTCATTGGCAGGGACAAGTTTCCCCCCTTCCATCTCTCTATTTCTTCCCTGCACCCCCTTTTCCTACTGCCTTATCGATCACATCCCGCTCCCAAATCTCACATATCAGATGTCACACGGACATCTACAGAAACCCCAGAGGTCTGAAGCAGCTCTGGGGCTCTAGACTTTCTGCACTGTCAATCAGAAGCACAGAAACACGAATGGCTGAACAGTGATACTTCATGGTGGGGAAAAAATAACACACACAAACACAATAAGAATTCGTGGAGAAAGAACTTCTTATAAGGTCACTGCAAATTAACTGATGATAAGTAATGTTTCAAATGAACCTACATTTAAAGGAAAACATAATGCATAGAATAAATTACTACCATAACTGTCCATTGTTACTGTTTAAAAACGGACTTCATCCTCAGACATGAGAGCAGCGCTTGCTGTTTTCTTGTGCTAATCTTTCACTTGGTGATAAAGCCGCGTTGCAACTTTCTTTTAACACTTCTTTCTGGCCCATTGAGATTTTGTTCTATCCGATCCTCAGATCATAGTAAGAACTGTTCCTTGTTATTAAAACTGATAAGAATGAAGCTCAAACTACGAAAAAAGAGTCAAATAACAAAACAGCAGAGGTAGCTTGAATGTATAAAAAATACACATAGGTTAGTGTATGTGCCAGAGGGGGAGAGAAGGTGTGTGTATGTGTGTGTTAGTTAGTGGGTTGTGGCATGACAGATGGACAGATATCTCACATCCGTCCTGAGGCAAGAAACTCAAGCAGGCCCTGGGGAGAGGCTGTCCTTTTCATTAGAGGGTGAGAGAACAAGCCAAATCTGCAGGCTCCGTTTCATCTCTCTCTCCTTCTCTCTCTCTGTCTCTCTATGTGCCACTTCACTCCAGCACCACACTGTGGTTTGTAACAGCTTAAACTGTCACTACCCATCACCAACCCAGCGTGGCCTAAAAGAGCCAGTTTTGAAAGCCACTCACACTTTAAAGAGGGGCAGGATTTCATTATGTGAAAAAAAAACGTGTGAAAGAGTGGATGTGTGTGTGTGTGTGTGTGTGTGTTTGTCTTACTTGATGTCATCAGTGGAGGAAGGGTGGGACGCAAGTCTTTGTTGCAGAAGTCTTGATCCGTGCAACACTCGAGAGCTCTCCTTGAACGTGCGTTCCACGTGTCCTTTCATGTACACAAACAAAATGTCAGAACTGTGCATGTCTATGTAACACTAATGAGAGGAGGCTAGTTAGCATTTTGTAATATAACAAAAGCTCTTTTACTGTGTATAAAGTAAACACAATGGTCTGGACAATTCTTATTCAAATGGGTCTCATCAACAGCTTCAGTAAGTCAAGTAAAGCTTATAAAGGTTTAAAAAGATTTCACGGGTGACACACGCACATTCACATGCAGCAGACTTACTCTGCATTGAAACTCAGAGCCAGCCAGTCCCAGGCAACCTGCAGTGAGTACAGCAACCCCCCCCTCCTCCTCCTCCACCATAGTGAAGCAGTAACCATCAGTCCTACAAAGAATATGCACACAATTTCACCATCACAGAAATCCAAATAAATATTTAGATCTGAAGATCATTTTTATTGACTGTCAGCATGTTAGTCGCGTGTCTAATCTAGTGGCATGAGTAATTGTGACAATACCAGGAATACACTAGCACATTTATGAATGTTTTGAATGTGAAAGAGCCCTGACTTCAGTTCAGGAGATGAGGCTTGAGGTGAGGACGATGAGGATGAAATGGAAATGAGGAAGGACAGAGAGCGGTGGTGATCGTGGCCGCTGTATTCGTGGCAGGGCAACATGGTGGCTTCCACAAATTAACGTTTATATATTTTTAATGGATTCATTCTAAGCTTATGAGAATCCAACAATTTGTAGGAAGATGTAATTACACACTAAATGATGTGTATTTATGAGTACATTTTTTACCTTTAAATGTAGTCAAAAAATTGAGATGAAGTAATAATGACACAAAACAAATAGATAGCAAAGATGACAAATAGTACATTCATATCCTTATATATTAAATAACTGCATCTAAGCACATATAGACCTTGTACCACTAAGTATTAAAATGTAATCTCTGAAACAAAACAAACAAACAAACAAAGAAACAAACAACTGAAATGGATAATGAGAGTAGAAATAAGCTGTGCCTCACGAAGCTTCAGGGGTTTCAGAAGAATGGAGCTGAATTAAAACATTTGTGTGCTTCTGATCTAATCACGCAATTATGAGTCTTTTGGCTAATTACACCGGGTAAATGTTTGCGTTGTATTTTAATGGGCTTAACACTGTGTTTTTTAAAAGTTTGTATGTGTCTGTTTTGTGAGCATGCAAGTGTGTAGTCCAGCATACATGCAAGTGTTGTTGACCGAGTCTTCAGGACAGTGATGGTAGCAGTGGCACCAAAGCATGTTCTGAGCTAAAACTGTGGCTGCGCTGCTGCTCTCCTCCACCCTTCGATCCGATGCCCCCTTCCCCCCGTTCTTCAGGAGCATAGTGTCCAACATATTAGCTGTACAGTGAAGACACAGGAGACAGAAAACTTTAGTACACTGCACCTCAGGAAAATCAGTGATCAGTGATCAATAATAATAACACATCCCCTTTTTCAAAGCCTGTCAATTGTCTTCCTAGCTTAGCATTGTTTGGAGTTTAACAGTGTGCTGCTGAAAGAAACCCTGCTGTTCTGAATTTAACTCCAAGTGGTCAGAGTTTAGCAGAGCTGATAAAGGAGCTGATCAAGGAAACAAGTGAAAACATAATATGAAGTATGTGGATCTATTGCATCTCCCACGTCACTGATCAATGGACCAATTTGCAAACTTCATAAACTCATAGGGGAGGGGAGGAAAAGAATGAAAAAAGGAAGCGGTACTAAAAGGAAACAGCTGGGGAAGAGTTTTCAGAAACAAAGGGGAGAGGTTTAGCAACCTGCAAACAAACTGTGTCTATAAATTGCAGAACAATTTAGGAATAATGTTCTGTAATGCAAAATTGTTTAATTGACTTTGAATATATCATCATCTACAGTACATAATAGCATCAAAATTTCAAAGAATCTGAAAAAAGCTCTGTGTGCAAGGGACAAAGCTGGAAATCAGTATTTTTAGCTTTGTCAGAAAATCAGTATTCGATGTTCCTCTCATCCTCACCGAACTCAAAACAAGCATGGCTCTGTCATGGACATCAGAAACACCAGAACCAGACCAGAAATCTTTGTGTGTGAACACAGTTCAGCTTGCCAGCCACAAATGCAGGTTAAATCTTTACCATGCTAAGAAGCAGCCACAAATGAGCAAGATCCAGAAAGGCTGCTGTCCTCTCTGGCCTGAAACTGGAAAACTATTCTGTGGTCCAACAAATCAAAATTTGAAATCCTTTTTTGGAAAACATGGATGGAAAGGAGTTATTTAATTGTTTTTAGACTGTGAATAATGCCAGATATATGACCTGTAATCGTACATTGTAAAATTAATAAAACACGTGTAACAAATATTTGGGCTAAAAAAGAATGCAAGCTGAAATCTCCAAAAGACGTATAATTATTTAAACCAGTATGACACACTATAATAACCCTGCTCATTGGTATAGAAACATTTTTCAATTAAAAGTAACTGTGCAGCTTATGCGCTTTTTTCCCCCACTCTTACTGTAAAGTAGCTGAAGCTGCATAAAGTCTTTCAGTGCAAAATCAGTCATGACAGCAGATAATCCCCAAAGACCACTGTGGTCAAAGAGTGGAACAGCATTGTGCCACACTAGATGGATGTCTTTCTCTTGCTCTCTTGCTCTCTGTCCGATTCTCACTTTTCCTTTTATATATGTATATATATATATGTATATGTGTATATATGTGTGTGTATATATATGTATATGTGTATATATATGTATATGTGTGTGTATATGTATATATATATATATATGTATATACACACATACATGTATAAGGCTTTCAAGAATGCCCATTTCCATGTTAGCGCTCAGTGTCAGTCAAATCCAAGAAAAGTTTCCCCCTGATAGATGCAACAAGATCTAAAGGGCAGAAACAGCCAGAAAGCCAACCAGGCATCAAAAGGGAGACATGATTAATCCTCCAGAGGAGTACGTGATGAAAAGGCTAAATCAGATTGCAATACCAAATACAGTGACTATTCTTTAAGTGGGACTGTGTCCTTTCACTCTGTGTTGCTGTTTCTGTCAGAGGGGAAGTTTGTGGAGGTGTTCAGATCCTCCCTCACAGTGGCCTTGGTCTCTCTATCACATCTGTTTTGCAAATATTCAAAACAAGGACACAAGAATGGAATGTTTCATGAGTCTGTAAGGAACTTTCTGTCTTGAAGAGCTCTGAGTCACTTAATCTTTTGCTAAACAAGGTGCACGATGTACCATGACAGCACTTAACTGCAATGACATAAACACAAAAATGAGCATTACGTAGAGCAGCACATGGATTACATATTTTCTAAACAGTTCATTTGGCTATGAACAGATTAGTCTCAAACAATTTGTACTTATAAATAAACTTGCTTGATTACACATATTGCTTGACATGAAGGCAATAAGTTTTATAGCTTGCTGTATAAAGTATGCAGATTCTATCGTATCCGCCAGTTCATTGACTGATGGACCAATATATAATTCCAATTAAACAAATGTTGGGAGGCTGTGTAAAAATTTTAAACAACAGAACATGATCTGCAAGCTCTATAAACTCACATTTTATTCACAGTAGAACACAGAAAATGTATCAAGTGTTTAAACAGAGACATTGTGGTATCTCATTAAAAATATAGTTATGTTGCTGCCATCAATTTGAAATTGAGGATATAGATAAGGCTGAAAATCACTATTGGATGGGCCCTCAACCTCACTACAATACAAACTGTCTGTTATGGAAGTCATAATGAAGGTATTTATCCAACAAGTTTTAAAGCCTGCTGTACATATGAGTAATTTTACTGCACAGTCACTGATGTTCAACAAATTACTAAAAAGCCTCAATGATGGGAAGAAAAAAATCAAAGAGAAACTACCTCTCTTAAATTAAAGACAGGAAAATAACCAAGATGTGACATTTTCTTCACACTGACTCTCACATAATGTGTCACATGCATTCTCCCAATTAGGTGGTCTAGCTGCAGAATGTCTCATCCCTCTCTCTCTTACATCTCACTGCCAATACCACCTTTCATCATTTCCTGCTGTTTCCAGCCTTTCAACATCCCAACTTCCATCTGCAGACTCTGGAGGTTTATTTATTTACTCATTATCGCCTCATTATTTGTATTTGCAGGAGAGTGGCATCAAATTCTACTAATATTCTGTGTCCTATAACTTAATGTGACTGGAAATCACATTAAGTTTGACTCATTACTATGAACTACTTTAAACTACTACACCAGTGCACTGTCACCCATGTATGCACATATATATACTGCCCACCTTTCCTTTCGTTTCCTCCTTATATTTACTCTCGTCTTGGAGATGCATAAGCTTACATGGACCCTCACACAAACTTGCATTGTCAGCGACGTAGCACGCTGAAGGTCACCCAGAAACCTGATCTGCATCCCTCACACATTCCACAGGCAGCTCCTCTGTCTCTGACACAATATTACACACACACACACACACACACCCTCTGAGCAAACGAAGTGTAATTATGGTGAATTACTCCAGCTGGAGAGCCTTCAGTCACAGCTCATCACCATCAGTGGCACTGTAAATGCGAGCACTTCCACACTGGATTGAACTTTTCCAAACATGTCTGCATTATTGACGGTAGTTTATCTGCCACCTTTATGACCATGTTTCTCATTTCTGTTCATTTCTGAAGGCTGTGACTGAGCAATATTGGCCTTGTTTGTGACACAACCTCCTTCCTTTTTTATAGTGCTAAGCGAAGCATGACTATGACCTCTGTAACAACCTTATAATGGCAGCAATGACAAATGGGAGAATCATGGAAATTCCCACTTGATAACATGTTCTGTGTGTTTTTTTTAAACATTTTTTAAGACATGCATGTTTTTAAATGAACGTCTTTATTTTTGGCAGTTCTAATGGAAGACGTGCTTCCATTTTTCCTTATTCTAACCAAATGATCGACTTTTACTGATTGTTTTAAGTTGAGTCAGTTTGAGGTGCTACATTGTTGTTTCATTGAACTTTTTTTACTTTCCTTTTTCTTTATTACAAATAAAAGATTTTAATAAAAACAGTAACAACAATGGGATGTGACGGGGTTTGCATGCCTTGAAAAATAAGCACTCCAATTAACAGAGCTGTATAACAGGAGCAGACTTCACAGACTAGACAACAGGCATTGAATCTGTGAGCTGTGACCACTGCACAGACTGTTAACTGTTCGTCATGGGTGCAGAGGAGGATAAGTTACTCCAGGTGGCCATGATAAATCACCTTCTCAAAAAGAGGCATCTTCCCCCTTGTCTGCCGGGTGCACTCTGACCCTGAGGGGGTCACAACCAACCTGCAAAGGGCCCATACATCCTCCTCCACCCTGCCACTGCACTCTCATTCCTCTTAACCCCCTACAGGCTTCAAAGGCCTGTGCCACATGAGACACTCACACATGTGCGCATATTGTACACGCACACACAAGAAAGTGTCCGAGGAGCACATTCCACACTCTTCGCTTCTTCTTCTCTGCTGCTGCTACACCCACATCAGGTCATCGGTTTCCAGCGCACAGCTTCCACCAACCTGTTTTCTCTTTATCGGCTGCCTTTCTGAAGGACTGACAGGGGCTCCCACCAGACAGAGCAATAATGCCACGACAAATTTATGGAGTTGACCCTGCCCTGCATTTTTCTCAAATCCCACCCTCGAAAAAAAAAATAGCTCCACTGTCAGAAACGAAATTCTACATATGGGTGTGAATACAGCAAAGAGCTGCTATATCCACATGCAAATACTCAAACACAGGCAGATGTACACACAGACAGACGAAATAACTGCTCTATTCACAACAGATGCCAGCAACATAAAGAGACAGAGACACAGAGGCCTATATATAGGGTGCGCAGATGCACTAAACTTCTTAATCTTGCATATAATTGTATGAATCTTGCAAAATGTTTGCAGACAGACACACACTGGCTGACGAACATACACATTGATAGACAAGAAACAGGTGTAGGTGCTGACACCACAAGTGTATCTGTCTCATATCAAACCCATCTTCTCTTATTTTTTTTTTAACATTATCTGCCCACAATTCCCATCAACGCGTCTCACTGCTCGTCTATCTATTCATGTGGTCTGGACTTACTGGAAAAAGCCACAAGCGACTGAAAAATTCTGGGGTTCATTACAGACTGCAGCCATAGCGCCACCACAATATGTCACCTTAGCCATTCTGCCCCCCCCAAAAAAAGGAAATGTGGGCAGACGCTTCTCTTTTGTACTTAAGGTTGTTTAATCTATGTAAGTACTGTATATTGTAAGTATAGCATAGTACACTCACATGTCTATATGTTAAATATGAAAGTACAGCCAGGAGAGTAGTATCTTAGGGTGAAAAACTTGAAGACATACAGGATAGCGCAAAAATCTTGAGCCACCCCTACATTACGTATGTTTTGCTTTCAAGGAGCTTTACAGACTTCCATGTAAAGTTTTAAAGGGGTCTTCAACAATAGCTCTCCAAGCTTTTTGAATGTCTTTCAAAGTTTTTCTATGAACATTGGATGCTTTTTCAGCCCAGTTCAGTGCAGTCAAGCATAAAAGGACACCTTAATGAAGGGATGAATCAGTGTTGTGTCTAGACATTACAGGAACCAATTTTAAAATGCATCTTTAGGCTCTTTGTTACTAGCAGCATGTCTAAAAAACATAGTTTCTTCCCATTTCTTTAGTTGACTCTATGGAAAATGACAAAAATAACACAGTTTGACAGTATAAAAAGTATTTTTGCACCAACAACATGATTCCCAAAGAGCTATTAGCTAAAAACTTCTCAGTATCCTGTACAGAGTGTCCTTAAGAAAATTGAGCAAACTGGTCTAGTGGAGGGGAAAAGTGGCAGTCTTAAGAAACCATCTCCAGCAGATATCTGAAAATCATGTTGATAAGACCTAGGAAAAAATCCACCAAATGCACCTGATGCAGGACCTGAGAGATAAATCTGACCGTTCAGTTCATCAGTCTACCGTTCACTGAAGCCTCAGTAGCACTCAGTGGAAGGGTAGCTGTCAAAAACTACATTTCAGACAGTGTTGATGGGATCTTATCAAATCATATTTTGATCAACCATGTAATACCATCTAGACAACATCTGGTTGCAACAGCTTTATTTTTCAGCAGTGACAATGTTCTCAAACACACTGTCTGTGTGCTAAAAGCATACCCGGATAGACAAAAACAGTGTGGAATCATCTTGGCAGAAAATGAAAAAAAAGAAGAAGCACGCAGCACCTAAAGAAGAGCTTTGAATGTCCTCCAAAAACCCTGGACAACTATTACTGAAGGATACCTAAAGAAAGCTTGGCTAACATAGTTTAGGCTGTGTGGAATAATAAAGGTGCTCATACCCAATTCTAAATTTGAAGCTCATTAAAATTACACAAACTCTCTTTTTGCCTTATATATTCCATTTTCAAGTATGTTTGCCTTTGACTAAGGACTTTTGCACAATCACAAAATCCACCTGCTGCCACCTTTAAAGTCTAGTAAGAATCCCAGCTGAAGCCTGCAAACATAGTTAACTTTGTTAACTAATTGTTAGACAACAGGGCCTTTTTATATAATTTCATATTTCAAAAGGATTCAACTAGGGTTTAGTAGTCCCTTCAGTACGTTCTTAAAACTCACAAAAATAGTCCCAAGTTTCCAAACCTCACAAAACAGATATATTAACATGGTTCACATGAATGACTAATAGACACACACACAGACACACACATATAGAGTTTTTATTCCCAGGCTTGACCGCTAGAGCAGCACATCTGCCTGGGGATCAAATTCTGTGTGGGGGAACCGTATCCACATCCTGACAGGAAGCAGCACACAGAACGGTGAAGGAGCTCGGTCCTGCTGAGGACCAACTGCTGCTGTTTTGTACTGCTGGACCGCTACGCCACGCTACACTCTGACCTTACTGTGCAGCGCTTAGCTTCACAAACATGTTCCAAAGGAAAGGTATATTATTGTTGCATATAATTTTTGTCCTTGCAAAGTACTGAGCAAAAACCTCTGCATGTTTGTCTGGAAGATTTTGAGTTAGGCATCATCCTCCTTGAGCATCCAAGAACGCTTGATCTCCATTTAAAATAACTTCAAATAATGTATGCAGTACGTGCATTAGTCAAGACTTTTGTCTCGTTTAAATAACATAATTATTAATTGCAGTAAAAATGTAACACTACCTACAGAACATTAAACTTATTCAGGTTTTCCTGCAGGCTGTCTAAACCACTGCATGTTCAATGCACATTTTTCAAATATGTGAAGATCGCTGGAAGTAAAATATAAATGGCAAGTTACTTTAGTAGCAGCTCTTCAGTGAAGACTCCTGATTATAAACATCTTTCAAGAGAATTCCTCCAGTGTACTCAAGCAAGCTTTCAGACCTTTTATATTTTCACGTCACTAAGCCAAACACATACCATGTCAACTTCTCCCGCGTCAACTTTTGTTCATTTTTTCCTTGAATGGTAGTAGCTGAAACAGCAGCGATACCACAGATATTTTATCGATCAGTGACAAACATGGGGAAAACCTAACCCAAAATATAGCTAGGAGGAAATTAACACATATCAATGTATCAGTTTCAAAAAAGCCTAACTTATTATGATATAACCGACCATATTTTTTATATTTCCACTGCATTGCCACAGGATGAACAGTGTTTGGACTCATCTATTCTCTGTGAACCTTACCAGCCTAGGGAAACAGGTGGCAAACTGGCTGTGCTACTTAGATTTATGGGCTACCTCCCACATGTTAAACTCATTTGGGTGACCTTTAAAAGATCAAATCACAGGGGAAACAGAAAAGGTATTGATAAAAGTTAGTGGGGGAAAAGGCTGAGCATAGGGGAGTGAAACTAAGGAAGCTCAAGAATAACCTTAGTATAAAACTTTTCCAATAAGCTCTTCAGCTTCATTTCGGGAAGTATTTATCAGTCTGTGCTGACAGGAATAAGCAGACACTTTGCCTCCAGTTAGTTAACGCTGCAGTTTTGGAAGAGTGAAAATCAATGTTGCTCTTCGGAGGCATTTTTGATGAGTTTTGCTCCAGTAACCCGCATAGTTTAGATCTGAGTTGGGCTAATTCACTAAAAAGGATTCATCAGCAAGAGCAACTTTTTTTCTGAAGCCTTCCGTTTTCCAATGAGCCCCTATCCTATACTAAGAAAACAATTTAACTAACGGAGAGCAAGATGAGGCCAACACAGCACTGGGTGAACAAATGAGAGAAGTGGCATGCCATCTATCACTTAAGGGAAATCCACTCACAGCTAAGAGTCATGCTGAAATTTTCCAGACCATCTCTTTATGGCAGAATTTATAAACACTGCATGTTACTGTGTGCAAGCAGATGCTGGTTTTATAGCTTGACACCAAACTCTGTTGTTACGAAGTATGAAAGTCAAGGTGCAACTAATGATTTTTTTAATGTTTCTGTTTTTTAATATTAGGACTAACTTTTTTTTTAAATTATCTGTAATCGTTGGTGTAAAAGGTTTTAAGAAAAAGAAAATGCAACATGAAAAATTGCAGAATTCATTGATTAATTTTGAAATTTTTAGATTTTAAACAAATAATTTAAGTGTTGATTTATGTGTCATAATATCTGCAAATAGCAATAAAAACTGAAAACCACCTAAACATGGTAATACCCATACTGACCTACTCCAACCAGAACAAATGGGCAAGCGTCACTTTCTTGAGACTGGGAGTTCAGCTTGTCACAACCTTACAGGGCACTGTGACATTGCTGGCATTCATAATAAAAGACAACTGGCTGTCCATCTTCAAACAATTCAAAACATGAACGGGGATTTGGGGACATGAGGGTTGGGGGGGTGGGGGGGTGGACAGGACAGCGGAGATAAATGCACACCGGTTTTCATGGCAGCCCCTGTGGAGATCATAATAGCTTTTCATCATAAATATCCCAGGGCAAAAAATAGACCGACTAGTGCACAGCTAGCACGATCAACCTGTCAGCGTATGATATCGCCTATAAAACATGTGAAAACTTGCTTCTAACTCAACCAGTAAAAGAAGTGCATAACCAGTCTAGTCTCAACATACACAGGAAGAAAACATGCCTATGATATAAGCCAAATGGTTAATCAAAACATAAAGACAGCAGGACAGCAGAAACATCAAAACACTCACCATCAGACCCAGGGCTCAGTGATGCTAGTCCAGTCACCAGGAGAACAGCCTGCCAGGCCCACTCCTGAGGCAGCAACACCACCATCATGCCAGCATTAACTTTCCTCAAGCCCCTGAGGTCCTGGCACAGCGAACACACCCTGCGCAACAAGGAGGAGGTGCGAGAGTGCACTTTATATCCTTCTGGTGAAAGAGGCTCAGTGCTCTTTTCTGTACAAGTGTTTCTCTGTGAGTGACTTCCCCCTCAGCACTCTCAGCAACTTCCCACAGCACAGTCGCCTTGCAGCCTCCAGCACTACTCCACACTGACAGCCTGGGAGAGACAGACACTGAGAAAAGAGGGGGGGGGGGAGCAAAAAGAGGGGGGGGGGGGGGGGGAGCAAAAGAGAGGGAGGAGGGTGTTACTTTGTTGCTCTCTCACTGTGCTATTTGTCCAGCCCTTTCGATGTCCACCGCAGAGGGAACAGCTGAGTATATCTACACATCCCCGAGGTGCTGCTACAACACAGGCACACGGTGCAAATTTTCTCATCCCTCATACCCAGAAAAGACAGCAGTGCAGAGGGGGCATTCGGGGGTAAACCGGGGCGATGGATGCAAGCATGAGGCTCCGTGAGGTGTGAAAGGTAGCAGTGAAGCCATTATGAACTGGTGCAAACACACAGCATGCCAAGAGAGACACAGAAGCTACAGAGTGAACTCAAGACTATAAACTTACAGAGGACATGTGTATATATACTATGGTAAAGCAAACTGATATCAAATCCTGCAAGGCAGAGAGAGTATGAACAACTAAAGCAAGAATCTTGCATTTGTTGTTAATACAAATAGGTTATTGCAGGTTATCCATCTTGGCTCGGCACCAGTGCTCCAGACATGACATTTACGTCTTTCTCACCGCAGAGGTTATTTAATGGCATCTAAGTCTCCCACTTAACAATTAGAAAATCTTAAGAAAGATTATAAAATAAAAGGCTTTCATCTGCACCTTTCATTTGTTTGATAGTTGAAGAAGAAAGGCGACGCATTCCACAATAATCATCAGAGGGAAAAAGGAAAAGAAACCGACCTTTCCACAACCCCATCTTGACCTAAAGTGTGCTGAGCTACAGCTGCAGACGCAGGTGTTGTGTGAATGGCAAAAATCGCGCAGGCATTAATCTGTAACTAACAGTATGGTATTAAAGTGCAGATGAAGGCTCAATCATGTTCAGTTGCTCCAGTGAGCCTGTGTGTTAAAGGGGTGAAAACACAACCACGCGAAGAGCTTCAGCAGGGATCAGCCCATCACACGTCAGGTGATTAGAGGCGATTAGAGCTCACACCTCCAGGCACCGCCACAACTTTGCAACTTCACACTAATCCAGCACACTTGCAAACTTACAACCGAACAGAAGAAACATGAATAATAATAGGGACACACTGCACAGCAAAAGTCAAGAGGATTGACTAAACCGTGTGCCAAATTGCGTCAACTCTACAAGAGCGCCTATAGGAATCATAAACATTTCCGAGAGGGAAGAATTTCCACAATCACATGCCGTATGTATGGGTCTTCTGGGTGGAGTTTCATTCATTCCAAATGGTTCAAGGGGACACAAACAAAAGCAAATGTGGTGCTAAAACAAGGCAAAAACAACAACAGCCAAATGGGCTTCTCCACCCACAACTGTCCCCTCCGAAAGTCTCACTGGGTGGGAACATCGGCTCCCAGAAGCCTCTTCGTCTTTTTAGTGCTCCAGCCTTAAAGCTGTCACTCCTGATTTGTGCATCTCTGTGTATTACATGTGATAAGTCAGACTATTCTGGAGCATGAACGCAGGGGAGCAATGTGAATGGGTCATTGCACCTTACACACCCTACTGCGCTCCATCAAATGCCCAGCGTGGAGCCTCTCTGGACTCTCACACAGCCTACTTGGGCCCAAAGGCCAGTGATGGGGGGCCCAGTGGAGTAAGCAGCTCCGTAGGTGGGCGTCACTCCACCAAACAAAGGGGTTCAAAGTGGGGCAGACTGGTTGCAAGAGCTATTTTCAGTTAAATTAATTCTTCCTTTCCTGTGTGATAGCACATCTGCTATCACACATATTTAGAGATGATTTATACTGCTTGAGAAATTGTTTGTCTCATAGTCAGCTGTAGGATCAATCATCAATTCAAAATGAATGGGAATTCCCTACATGGCTCTGTCTTTCTAGGAAAATAAAATCTATGATGATCTTAACCATTTTTTTGTTCTAAATGTATGAATTACACCTTGATCAATATCACGGATTGAATATTTCAGCTTGTACTGGCTTGATCTTTCCTTAATAAATTGTTCTCTTGCAAGCCTTGCAGCCTTGCACCTTTAAGAAGCTGCAGACCTAAATAAATGAAGAACTCATTTAATGACTATTGCTTACAGTGTGAAATATAATGTGCAACAACTATTACTGTCTAGTTTGTATGCGATGAAATATGCTCTGACCACAGGGTGGGTTTAGGTCAAAAGACACCCACTGATCCAGATGTACTTTCCTGTGCACAATATTATGCAGAGTTATCAAAAGGTCACAAAGCCGAAGAAGGGCTTTCATGGGCCAAAAAATACATAGCCGAAAAAGCGTGCACGCACATGTCCCCAGTGAGACACTTTTATTAGAATGGTTGGGTGACCATCCTGGGACATATCTTTTTATAACCTCATTTTATTTTTATGTCTGCTCAAAATTTCTTCATCAGACTAAAGATTTTTCCTTCTCCCTGTTGGTTCTGATTAGAGCTCATCGATGCATCGCAAAAACCCTCTTCTCACTGCTCTTTTCTGACAATATTGTTGCAGTATTGCTGTATGCTGTAACTTAAAAAATTCAGAACAGTTCCAATAAATCCCAAATGATTCCAGTAAGCATGAAAAGGAGCAGTAAAATAGCAGTACAATAGCATGGGTAAAATAGCAAAATGACATGAGGGAAACTGCACTACACTAAGCTATTTGAAGAGAACAAATTACTGCTTTTACCTGAATAAAATAAAAAAATTCTTGTTTTTTGTTTCTTCTATAAACCACATACTTGTATGAGCCCCTTTCACTTGCCATTTTAGGTACAGTAACTTCTTTGGTGCTGCTCTACCATAGCTCTGGCTTAGTAAACTGGGTGCTGTGCTACTTGGAGGGCTTGTGTGGAGAGTAGATTAGCTCAGAGATTATTGTCACTTCGTTTTACAGATTTTATGTGCTTCACATTCTGCCCTCTAGCAGTCAGAGATCAATTATTGCATTGTTTGTAATAATCTGTCTCCATTTCATAAAGTAAACATTTTCTTTTGAAACAGAGACCCTACTTCAATACCCGCACTAGCATTGCAATGCACCATGAAAATGAGCCATGTTTTTTGTTTCAGAAAGTGACTTTAAAGAAGCGGGCACGCATTTCATCATACAGCAAGAGGAACGGGATAGATGACTGTGAAAAATCACCGCTAACCTGTGAAACAAAAAGCCATGGCAGAACACAGATGATGAAATTACTCTCAGAAGATGGAATGCGTGTCTTGAACGATTTTTCAGCTGGGGCCAAACTGACCCTCAGCTCTGTGAAATTAGGAGGATTTTCAGCAGCTCAGCGTTAAAACGGCTGTCACCGAATCCTGGAAAGCACTTTATTACCGTGACAACACAGCTGTCTAGACCAAATGGTCCAATCGGGGTGCGAGAGTCAGGAAAGCGTGACACTATCTTCATCATCCAGCAGGACAAAGATTAGCTTCCTTTCTTCATTGAGTTATAAGAAAAGATTATTAACCACATTTGATACAATGGAGCTGAACTACTGCTCTGTCTTTTAGTTTTCAGAGATCCAGGTGACATCGCTGAGATCACAGCTTTTGTCTAATCAACAGTGAAATTAGTGGTCTTATATAAACGTGAAGATGAGAATTAGCAACTTAACAATACTCACAAACTCTATCAATCTGACAGTCTTCATCAAACAAGCATTCAATATGTTGAGTGTGTGTGTGTGTGTGTGTAGGTGTGTGTGTGTGCGTGTGTGCGTGTGCGTGCCTGCCTGTGTGTATTTTAATATAGGTAAGTAATGTACGCAAAAAAGTGTAAAATAAATAAGAAAATTTAATGCCATAAAAATTATAAAAACAAGTTAAGATATGTAATTAATTAAAAATTAATGAAGGTACCTGGTTAAACAAAAAGGTTTTTAACTGGTTTTCAAAAGACTCCACAGAGTCAGCTAAATGTAATTTTAGTGGCAGACTCTTTCAAAGCCTTGGTGCCCAGACTGACAAGCTCTATCGCCTGGTCTTCAGTTTTATAGGTGGAACAGCAGATTCTGAGCATGTAATTGAACACTGCGCGCAGCAGTGCATTTGGTAAGAAGCTGAGATAAAAAGAGACTTTACATGCAAGAGGAAGGAATCAAATATTACATTAAGATTCTGAACACTGGATTTAGCAGCTGAACAAAAAGCAGTAAGAGTCTGACTGATTTCAGAATGTAAATCGCGAGGCGCTATGATCTTGGCCTCAGTTTTGTTCAAGCTCAGGTCAAGGTAACTGAAGGGCCAAGCACAAATCAAGGTTAAACAGCCTATCCAGCTGGTGAGGATTAAAAGACATACAACTGAATGTCATCAGCATAGAAATGTTTTTTCCTTGCCACCATTGCGTAGTGCTCGCTCATAGGGGTTCATTTGATTGTTGGGGTTTTCTCCAGAATACTATATTGTAGGAGGTATAAAGCACCTTGGGGCAGCTTTTGATTAGTGCTGCATAACTAAATCTAAACTGAATAGAACAGAACCTTGGTCACTCTTTTGGTGTCTCATCTGCACCGTTACTCTCCGTCACTTTACTCCTGCGTGAGGCATTAAAATAATGCGAAGACCATGTTCCATTCTATTGTTTTATATGTATTTGTTTTGGATTTTTTTTTATTTCCAAATAGGCTACAGCCTACAATGCTAAGACTTAACAATGCCCATGTGTAGACAGGACACCTTCTCTACTGAATCTCTAAGGATAATTCAGAATATAAATATATACAGTAACTATATTGGGAGAATATGAATATCCCCAGCAAAGCCTCAACCTTCAAGTAAAAGAAAGATCTTCATGAATATTAAAGATTCCCACAATAGTAGGGCCAAATCACTGCGCTGAGATTGACGAATACCTGAGTGGGAAGAAAAACTCCATTCATAAAGAGTGAAAAGGCTGTCACAGCCAGATTCTCATTCTCTCACTCAGTCCGTCTCACCGTCTCTTTCTTCATGACACTACGACGTGACAACGGAGAGCACTGAAACATGATCACACTTCTGTTGAATCA